CAGCCGCCCTGTCCCTCCGCCGTCCCCGCCCCCGCACGTCCGGCCTGGAGAGCCCTGTCAACCCCACGCCTACGAACGCGCCCGGCGGCCCCCCGACGCCGCCCCGAGGGTCACCGCCTCCAGCGAGTCGCCGAAGTTTGGGCTCCCACCCCGCGCGGGCAAGAGCCCATCCCTCATCTTCCCCACAGCCCCCAGGCCTGTCGGAGCTGCCTGGCAGCCTCCCTCATACCTAGAGGGGCACAGTCTCCACTCGTGGCTCAGAGCCAGGCTGGGTCACGGCGTGGGGCGGCGAAGACACGCGGAAACCGGGGGCCTGTCACCCACTCGCGGCTAGAGGTGGGGGGAAGGGCAGCTACGGGTGCGCTCACAGCCTTGCACATGCGCAGCTGCAGGAGCTGCTCGCCCTCCCAGGGTCCTCCGAGGAGCGGTCCGTCGGACTTCGAGACTACATTTCCCATAAGCCTGCGGGCCATGCTGTAGGGACTCTCAGGAAAGTCTTCGCCTAGTTTAGCGGTTTGGAAGCGCATGAGCGTTGACGAAGATAATCCCTTGGCTTGGACTGTTCGTTTCTTCCAGATCGTGTCAGGAGTTACAATCACTATCTCCCCACAGTACAAAAACCTGCCTCTTAAAGATTACTCAGGTGATCTATGATACCTGTATCTGAAATAGAATCTATGTATAAAATAAAAGAAACAAAAGCAAATACCTATAATTTCACTTTTCAAAGATAACACCTTTAAAATAAAATTGGCCATGAAGATATTATATGCCACAACTAGCTTCTTTTCTTCGTTTAGAGCAGTTGTAGGTTCACAGTAGAATTTGAGGAAAAAAGTACAGTTCCCATACACCACCTTCCCCCTCACATGAATAGCCTCCTCCACTATTAACCCCACTAGAGTGGAACATTTGTTACAATCCCGTGTACACCGACACATCACCCAAAGCCCAGAGTCTGCATTAGGGTTCACTCTTGGCAGTTGTACATTTTATGGGTTTTACAAATATGTAATGACATGGATCCACCACTATAGTATCATACAGAATAGTTTCACTGCCCTGAAAATCCCCTGTGCCCCATCTAGTCATTCCTCCCTCCCTCTCCCTAAGCCCTTGGCAACCACTGATCTTTTTATTTTCACAGTTTTTGCCTTTTCAAGAATGTTAAATAGTTGGAATCATACAGTACATAATCTTTTCAGATTGGTTTCTTTACTTAGTAATATGCATTTAAGACTTCTCCATGTCTTTTTTCAGGGCTTGATAGCTCATTTCTTCTTAGCACTGAATAATATCCCATTGTCTGGATGTACTACAGTTTTTCCATTCACCTATTGGACACCTTGGCTACTTTCAAGTTTTGACAATTATGAATAAAGCTTCTATAAACTTCCATGTGCAGGGTTTTCTGTGGACATAAAATAAGTTACTCATTTGGGTAAATACCAAGGATCACAATTGTTAGATCATACAGTAAGAATATGTTTAGTTTTATAAAACAAACAAACAAACAAACTGCTGAACTCTTCCAAAGTGTCTGTACCATTTGCCTTCCCACCAGCAAAGAATGAGTGTTCCTGTTGCTCCACATCCTTGCCAGCATTTGGTGCTGTCAGAGCTGTGGATTTTGGCCTACTAATAGGTGTGTAGTGGTAGCAACTAGCAACATTCAAGTCTGCATTACTACACCTACCATGCTTGGAAACTCTAACAGAATACTGGAGGCCATTCAGAAAAATCTTGGCCCTGACCAGTGTGGCTCAGTTGGTTAGAGTGTCATCCCATACACAGAAAGGTTGTGGGTTCGGTTACTGGTCAGGGCACATACCCAGGTTGTGGGTTTGATCCCTGGCTGGAGTATGTATAGGAGGCAACTGATTAATGCTTCTCTTTCACACTGATGTTTCTTTCTCTCTCTCTTTCTCAAATCAATAAAAACATTTCCTTGGGTGGGAAAAATCTTGGAATAAAGGTTCGGGGGCCTATACCTGACAAACTTTTCGCTTTTATAGAGTGGGTTGTTTAGGGGCTGTGTAAATGCACCAAATGGTTCAAATAAATGACAACTACTATGAGGATCTGACACCCAAGGATACTGAAGAAACTATTGAGGAGCTCAAGACTGGGAAAATTCCAAAACCTGGGTCAAGGAGTGGGCGCTTTTCTTGTGAGCTAGCTGAGGGTCTCACCTCTTTGACTGAACCACCCAAACGACCTGGCTTTGGTGTGCAAGCAGGCCTTTAATTTATATTCAACTGTAAATATGTCACTGGAGGAATAAAATATGAATCTCCTATCTAAAAAAAGGGGGGGTACTTATACACCAATGGTCAGAGCAGCATTACTTACAATAGCCAAAAGGTGGATGGAAACAACCCAAGTGCCCATCAACAGAAGAATGGTTAAATAAAAGGTGATATATATAATTCAGCTAAAAAAAGAATGAAGTTCTGATACATGTTACAACATGGATGAACCTTGAGGATAAGACAAGTAAAATAAGCAAGCTACAAAAGAGCAAATATAGTATGATTCCATGTACAGCAAGTTCATAGAGAGAGAGAGTAGAATAGAGATTACCAGGTACTGGGGGGAGGGAGGCATGGGTTGATGAAGAAGCTCTGAAAAGAGATAGTGGTGATGGCTATACAACATTGTTAATGCACTTAATGCCACTGACTTGCACACGTAAAAATGGTTAAAATAGTAAATTTCATGTTATGTTATATTCACCAGAATTTAAAAAATAATAATAAGTTGGGCCCTAGCCGGTTTGACTCAGTGGTTAGAGCATCGGCCTGGGGACTGAAGGGTTCTGGGTTTGATTCCGGCCAAGAGCATGTATCTCGGTTGCAGGCTTGATCCCCAGCCAGGTCAAGGTGGGCGCTTGCAGGAGGCAACCAACGGATGTCTCTCTCTCACTTCTGTCCCAACAAGCACTGACACCGATATTAAGTACATGCTTGGATGGCACTGCTATAGGATGCAAAGAAATTTTAACTGTAATTATAGTGACTATTTAAAGTGGAGCAAATGTGTGGTTTGTCCACAGATACTGACAAAATCTTTTTATTTTTGTTTACTTGCTAAAATGACATTGCCATGGGGCACAGTTCATATTTCACAACATGTGAACTCATCAATGAACTTCTGTACTCTGTTATATTAAAATCCATTGGTCTTTCTTGTACTCTGAATGGATCATTTATCTAGACATGATTTTCTAGGATCATGCATTGGTCACTTGAAAAATACTGGCTCACTGAGTCATGAAGATCTTTTAAATGCTGAGATATTTTATTACATAGTAGTATCAAAAGACCACAATAATATCACCACTAGTCTCATCAGAAAAGCCTTAAGTACGGGGAAGTGGATTTTGCCAAAATTCTACTTTTCACTTGAAAGCTCATTTTATCATTGGGCGACAAATATAGTCAGTTGTTTTCCTTGAAGTGACAGCTCACTTCATTCATTTTTGAGAAAATGTCTGCCAAACACTCAGCCTTCATCTGACACTCAGCTGTTCAAGGAAAAATGGTGTTCCATGAGAAAAGCAGCTAGTTCAGCTCATGACTCAAACAATCGCACGAGTGATCTTCCTGGAGTCAACCATCGTGTTTTTGTGTGCGGCACAAGTATTTCATGCATACTTTTCATTTAATCAGGCAGAATAAAAAGACATGCACTCAAAGGTTAAGGCTTAATACAGTTAATAATTCATACTGCTCCACTAAGGTCATTCTTACGTCAAACTAACATTTCTTTTCTGTAATTGCTTGCAAGTGCAGGATGCAATGGCTGCTAGGTCACTTTTGGTGCCACTGTCTGGAATCCTGCTATGGCACCAGCAGGTTCCCTCACCAACTGCTCTTGCACCATTATTGCAAATGTCAACTCAATGAAACAGGAAAATAATGTCTAGTTATTATTATTATTATTATTAATATTAAATAATACTGACCTCTTGGGTCCCCTGAAAGTGTCTTGGAAAATCCAGGGGTCTTCAGATCACACTTAAAGCACAATCGCTGTGCACAATTATCACACCTAAAAAATTAACGTTTCCTTAATAATATTCCAATAGCCATTTGGTGTTCATAGTTCCAAATTCTTTTCATAAACATTATATATCTCTTCAAATTTTTAAAACTCAAGCTCCTGCCTGGCCGGCATGGCTCAGTGGTTGAGCACTGACCTATGAACCAGGGGGTCACAGGTTCGATGCCCAGTCAGGGAACATGCCTGGGTTGTGGGCTTGATCCCCAGTAGGGGGCGTGCAGGAGGCAGTAGATCAATGACTCTCATCATTAATGTTTCTCTCTCCCTCTCCCTCTCTGTCTCCCTTCCTCACTCTGAAATCAATAAAAACATATTTAAAAAAAAATAAAATAAAACTCAAGATGGAAATGAGTCCATGTCCTGTGATTGATGTCTTAATACACAGGATTCCCCCTCCATTTCTTTCTTTTCCTTTGCCATTTATATGCTGAAAACACTGGGTCGTTTATTCCAAAGAATTTCTGGCAATCTGGACTTTCCTCATGATCTTATATTTTAGTGATCAACTTTCTAGTCCTTCATCTGGATTCTGAACTTGAGAAGGTCAACACTTAAGAATTTTTGGCCAAATGTTAACAGTGATTCCTCACTTCTTGCCAGGTCTTAAAATGATTTCTTTTTCAAAGTTACTGGTTTCAGGTTTCTCCCTCAGGCGTCTTTATTTCCTACTCTTTTATTCAGCGTTCCTGCAATCAAGCTTTGTCAAGCATCCTCTGGGTGGCAAACACTATACTAGGACATAGCTGTGAGCACCTTGTGGTTTATATTCTAGTTGGGAGGACAGGCAATAAGCACTAAGTGAAATATACAGCACGTCAGGTGGCATTTACCACTTAAAAGTTTGTATCAGGAGGGCTGGCAGGGGATGTGTGTGCTTTTTTTAATAGGGGGAATAGAGAAGTCTTTACTGAATAGGTCAGGTTTGAGTCAAGCCTCCTTAATCAGATCTTAGGACCCACAATCAGATCCCTACTGGCAGATGTTCCTTTCCTTGAATTATTTCCAACGTCTGATAACACCACTCCTTCTAATCACCAATTCCTTCCTGCAAGTTGACCTGCCTCCCTCTTTTATACCTGAGATGATGGGAAGAAATGATACCTAATCACAGCTTTCGCCTCCTCATTTGGGCTCTAACAAGTGGCCTTCAACCTATCTTTCTCATGGCAAAACTACAAAGTAGGAAGCCTGCAGAAATTCTCCTGATAGGAAGCAAAGTGAATCTCATGCTCTTTATTTTTAACATAAATTAACTCTGGAGAACAAAACAGCCTGAACCTTGCGAAATCCAATTGTTTTACTGAGCATTTGAAAAGACCATCTTTCTCCTCGATGAATGAAGGATTCTTACGTGGCCAATGGCTTAGAAAGGTTTCATCCAGGGATCCTCTGGGCATCGGAGGACTGTTA